CAGACTTAATCATGTGGTGGAAGTGAGAAGCATAGCACTAGGTGTTCCCTTGCCCGGTGCTGTCTCCAAAAACCCAGGTGGGGGGTGACACGAGTTATAGAGCTGTTGGCCAGACTCCTCCCCGCCCAGCCTATAACAGGCTGCTAGAGACCAAGTCCAGATCCCTCCTCCTTCCCCCTCTACCCTCCTCACCCTGGGCCCTAGAAACTGAGCTGGCTCCCATCAGGCTGGGAGCAGAGGGAAGAAAACAGGACACCTTTCCTTCTAGCAGAAGAATAAATAAGCACATTTTATTATTTGATCAGCACATTAAATGCCATCGGTACAGAGTGTGTGTTCCGTTATGTTGGTGTCTGATGCCTGTTAAAAATAGGTTCGAGAATGCTCTCCTGGCTGATGTCACTTGGAGACATCAAATGACGAGGCTCCCGGAGAGCTCCCCCAAAGTAGCAGTGCCATGGGCAGCTGTGCAGTCGGGACCACTTGGGAACATTGTTGTTGCCTGCTTTTGGTGCTTGGCATTTTATTGCACACTTGGCCTTGTGCCATCCCATAGGCTGTAAAACACGACTTCAAACAGGCTGCACCTTATTCCCTGACAGTCTGCTGATGCTGGCTGTGAGGTCTTTTCTCCCAGACCCCACTGATGGTGTGGGCACACAGCAGCCTCTTCCAGTTGATGGGGAGGGGACAGCAGCTGCCTTGAAACCGTGGGTTCTCAACCACGGGGGACATGGCCTCCCAGGTGACCCTCGGCAATGTCTGGTGACATTGTTGACTGTCATGACTCAGGGATGGCTCCTAGCACCTAGCAGGCACAGGCCAGTACGCTGGGAAGCATTCTGTTGTGTGCAGGCCAGCTGCCCATCACCCAGGGTGATCCAGCCCACAGCTGCTAATGTCCATACCTTTTACCCCTGCAGGGGGCGCTATGCCAGGGCACCACAAGATGCTCAATGGAAAATGGTGTTAAAAAATCAGCTTATTTTGATGCGAATTTTTTGAAATCTAGGCACACAAGCAGCCTTCAAAAAGTTTATAAAAATGCACATTGTATGGGTTTCAAAAATTTACACTGAAATAAGCTTATCTTTTTAAACAATTGTCTTTGTGAGGCGGAGGTACACACACAGAGAAACATATAGGTAGACAGATAGATGGAGGAAAAAGCTCTCATCTGCCTGTTTACTTTGCATATGCTTCAAACCAGTGGAGCTGGACAAAGCAGAAGCTGGGAACCTGGAACTCAATGAGACCTTCCACATGCTAGGCAGGAACCTGGTAACTTGAGCCATTACCGCTGCCTCTCTGGGTTTACATGACAAGGAAGCTGCAGTCAGGAGCCAGAGCCGACGATCAAATCTAGATACTCCAATGAGGATGTGGGTGTCTTAACCACTAGGCTACAGCCCCTTGTTAAACTTATCTCTTCATTTATCTTTTCTTTTCAGGGTGCTTTTTGAAACACCCTGATGTCTAAAGTGTCTAGAACTTAGCCACTGCTCAGGTATTGGGCAAGTGGGAAAGATTGAGAGGCATGGCCCAGGTAGAGGGCTCATCCTCAGAACTGTGTCAACAAGTGCTCTAGCGTAACAGTGGCGGCGTGAGATAACTCACACTTGCTGAAAATGCTGTGAGCTTGACCCTGACGCTCGCTGAATTTGTGTGACCCAGGAGGAAGGCACTGTGTGGTTTACTCTTTACAGAAAACCAACAGAGATACGCCAGCAGGCAAAGGGGAGAGGAAGGAGCGTGCTTTCTTTCTTGGCATATTTTTGGGGAGGGTGGTGATTTTGGGGTGCTGTTTGGCTTTCCCAGTTGGCTGTGAGCTGCACAAAGGCAACACCTTGAGTGAGTTGACTCTGGAGTACCTGACCAAGTCCTGGATTCTCAGGTACGTGGTAAGAAATAAATGTCTGTGGCAGGTGTTGTGGCATAGCAGGTCAAGCTGCCCCTTGCCATGCCAGCATCCCATATGGGCGCTGCTTCCTATCCCGGCTGTTCCACTTCCGATCCAGCTCTCTGCTGATGGCCTGAGAAAAGCAGTGAAGATGGCCCATGTGCTTGGGCCCCTGCCACCCAGGTGGGAGACCTGGATGAAGCTCCTGGCTGCTGGTTTCCGCTTAGCTCAGTCCTGGCTGTCACGGCTATTTGTGGAGTGAGCCAGCGCTCCATATCTCTGATTCAACTTTCAAATAAATGTCTTAAAAAATGTGTTTAATGGAATTGCATGAGTGAGGCAGGTAGTGTAGCTCAGGGGCCACAGCACTGGCGTTGCAGTTAGATACACAGCCACACAAGCCCTCGTGAGACAGTGATGTGCTGGAACCGACCTATGTTGGCTCATGACAGGTGGTGGTTCATGTTTCAGGAATTTTGTAAGCTGGTTCTCAAAAAGCCATGAACACCATTCAGTTGTATAAAGTCACAATTAAAAAAATTACATTTTAAAAAGGTAATACAACTCATCATTTCCTAATTGTACTACGTTTTGCTGGTGGCTCTGTTCTTGCAATTAGTAGATCTTCCTTAGGGGTCACCAAACATTTTTATTTATTTTTCATCTGAAAGGCAGAGTTACAGAGAGGCAGAGGCACAGAGAGAGAGAGAGATCTTCCATCCATTGGTTTACTCCCCAAATGACCACTACAGCCAGAGTTGGGCTGATCCAAAGCCAGGAGCCAGAAGCATCTTCTAGGTCTCCCACATGGGTCCAGGAGCCTAAGGACTTGGGTCATCTCCCACTGGTTTCCCAGGCACGCTAGCAGGGAGCTGGATCAGAAGTAGAGGAGCCATGACTGAAACCAGTGCCCATATGGAATGCCAGCACCTGCTGCATTACCTGCTATGCCACAGCACCAGCCCTCAAACTTTTTTAGTAAATGGGTCAGATGATAAATGTTTCAGGCTTTGCAGTCCATGCGCTGAATCTGGCCCCTTGGCTGTACTTCACTGACCCCTGGCCTTTTGTATCTGGATTGCAGAAATCCTCTGTTGAGATAAATTATTTCTTGCAGGTGATGTTATGGCACAGCGGGTAAAGCTGCTGCCTGCACCTACGGCATCCCATATGGGTGCCTGTTCAAGTGTTGGCTGCTCCACTTCTGATCTGGCTCCCTGCTAACGGCCTGGGAAAGCAGCAGAAGATGGCCCAAGTGCTTGGGCCCCTGCACCCGTGTGGGAGACCTGGATGGAGCTCCTGGCTCCTGGCTTTGGTCTGGCCCTGCTCCAGCTGCTGTGGCCATTTGAGTGAAACAGCGAAGGGAGCTCAATCTCTCTCTCTGCCTTTCAAATAAATGAAATAAATCTTTTAAAAAATACTTCTCCATTTGAAAAGCAGAGAGAGCGCTTCCCATTAGCTAATTCATTCCCCAAATGCCCATAAGAGCTAAGGCTGGGCCAGGCTGAAGCCAGGAACCAGGGACTCAATCCAGGTCTTCCCCATGAGTGGCAGGAACCCAATCACCCGAGCCATCGCTTGCTGCCAGGCAGGGTGCACGTCATCAGGTAGCAGGAATAGGAGTGCAGCCAGCATTCGGAGCCAGGCCCTCTGAGCATGTGGCGGGGGCGGGGGGGGGGGCAGCACGTTCTCCCTCCAGGGTCTATGATGCGTATTGGTAGCTTGTAATTGGCCACGGTAGGAGCGTTTACACCAGGGAGGTTGTCAAATTCTATAAATTAGGGCTTATCTTTCTTTGGTAACCTGTTAAATCTCCACCAGTGCTCCAATGGGTACAAAGAAAGAACTCTGTCTGCCTGGAATGCGCTAGGGTGTGTATACCCCTTCACAGTGGGCTTGCGGGGAGGGAGACCACCCTGAGGACATCCACCACAGCTTGCCCGCTGGAAGGAGGGCTCGGCTCTCCCTCTCCCGGGGCCACTGCTCTCCTTCCAACGGCCACGACGTTCCTTTACCAGATTCTCTAACAGGAGAGGAAAGGGCTCATGTCTTCTCTGTCTTCCTGTTGCTCTGCAAACATCTCAGGTTCAGTGTTGGAGGGGTGGACTCTCAAGGTCCTGGACCAGTCCTTTGGAGAGTCTGGATTCCCTGGCTTTGAGGGGGACTTGGGTGCCTGGTAGATCAGCTTACGCCTCCTTCAGAGGCTGGGGAGCAACAGGGCTGCTGATGGGATGTGATGGCTGGATGCAGACTCCTTTCCAGGACAGAAATCTGGGATGGCGGGAGGGGAGGGGCTCTGCAGCGTTATCCAGGTCCCAGTCTAGGAGATTGGGGACCTGACCGTCACTATCAACGCCTTCCCGTCTCACCCTGCCGACTTACTGCGCGGATCTCACACTGGCACTTTCTGAAATGCCAGGGAGCGTCTGACAGTCACTGCACTCGTGTTCAGCGACGCCACGTGCACACAGGCACTTTTCTTCTCGCAGTGTTCATGGCAGCTCTGTTTCTCTGATTTCAAAGTCTGGTTTCTGAAATCAAGAGGCACTATCATGTAGAGACGACATCGATTTCATTCAGGAAGACGTTACAGAGAAAGACAGATGGAACGTCTTCCAAAGTCCCCGGAGAGGTGGGAAAGACGAGGAATTTAAAGTCAGGGGGATGCCCCCTCTGAGCCTCAATTCCTCACCTGTCAGCTGAGGGACGATGTCAAGTTCTGCCTCCCGGGCAGACTGGAGGAAGAAGTGAGAACCAATGCACACCCCCACCCCTGCAACAGTCCCTGGCATTGGGTGCTGGTCCTTCCTTCCCCGACGTTCCCACATCGCATCTGCCACTCACCCACTGCACCTGGCAGTGCTGAGGATGTGTGGGGTGGCTCCTCTGCCTCCTGGAAACTCGCCTGGGTCTGCTGTAGGCTGGTGCCCTGCATGGCCAGAGGAGGGTGCCTGGATGTCTCTGAAGTGGACAGCAGCCTCCCCTGGCAGCGACTTCCAGCTGACCGCCATCTCCTTCCTCCTGGGCACCTGTGACAGGTTCTTCCCCGGCTTTCCCACCTCCAGGCACTCCTCGGCCACGTCGTGCTGCAGCCAGTGACCCTTCCAAGATGCCATGTGGAAGTCACCACCATGCACAGACCACACGACAGCTCCCCGCTGCTCTGGACCCCCCCAGAGTGCAATTCACCTGGCAGGTCAAGCGTCCTACCAAGTCTGTGCCTTTGTGTGGACCATTCCTCCTCCCTGCAGCTCCTGTCCCCGTCTTCATCTAATCCTGGAGATCGCTTGGAATCAAGACAGGGCCCCGGCACCAGCTCCTCACCCCACCCCGCTTGGCTGGTCCAGGCATCCCTTCTCTCTTCCTGAAGCCCCGGGCACAGTGTGGGTACTGTCTGCTTCCATACGGTCCCAGACCCAGAGCTCCTTGCTCTGTGGTTAAGATGCGGGCTCGGGAGTCGGAGAACCCTCGGCAGAATCCTGCCCGGCTGAGTGAGCCTGGGCAAGTCACCTAGCCTCGCCGGCAGGATGACAACACATGTCACAGGGCGGCAGGCAGGCAGGCAAGGTCCTCAGCATATAGGAAGTCTCCAGCCACTGCGGCTATTACAGTAATAACCATCACAGCCCCGCTTCTGGTGAGCCACCAGCAGACAGCAGGAGCTCAAAGATCTGAACAAATGACCCAACCCCACCCCTGACGGACGGGGGACTTCTCGACACAACCACCCCCTACACCCACATCTGTATCACCAGGTGGGGCCTCGGCCTCCCTTCCTTCTTCAGTGGTTTTCTCAAGCTCAGAACTTGAAGGAAACACCAGCCAGTCGTGGGGACATACCAGAATTTCTAGTTTTCTAACCAGAGCCTTCCCAGGGGGCACCAGGAACAGCTTGGGCCACTCCCTGGGCGGCCTGCAAGCGCTTTGTCCGCGGTGGAATGAAGGGTGGGATCTGCCTTCCACCCGCTGCCCCGCAGCCCCTTGCCAGGTGGTCTGTTCTGGGGTCATTCGCCACGCCACGCAACACGGCCCGCACACACGCACGTGCTCACACAGGCACCTGCAGGGGGCCCGCCGCGGGGGCGTGCGGGGGTGAGGAAGCTGCCCGGTGGCCCTGGTGGTCGCTCGCTCGCGTCCAGGTTGGCGTCGGCGAACTGTGGTTCATCTCGCAGAGTCCAGTCCTGGGCTGGCGCGGGGTCCGGGGTCCGGGGTCCGGGGCGGGAGGTTGGGGGAGGGGCGGCTGGGAAGCTTTGGGGCGGGGGTGACGCTTTGTTATCGGGGCTCCTCAAGGGGGTTCTGTTTCTAGGGGCAGAAGCAAGTCTGGGAGCCCGCCCCCACCCCCGAAGCCAGGGCCCACGGCCGGGCGCTGCGGGGCACAGTCTCAATTCGAGGACATCGCACTGTCTTCTGGCGCCGCTAGCCCACGCAGGGGCGTCGGGGGTCCCGCGGCGCGGCCCAGCCCCTCCCCAGCTGCCCAGCCCAGGGCCCGGGCCCACAGTCACCACCCGGCCGTCTCCGCAGCCGCCGCGACCCCTCCGGCCCCGGCTCCCGCCTGGGCACCGGCGGGGGCGCGGCTGCCGTGACGTCACGCGCCCCGCCCCCGCGGCCCCCGCCCACTCCCCCACATTCCGGGCGGGGCGGGTCTGGCCGGTCGGGGCGCGCCCGCCCCGGCCCCCTCCCCAGGGGCCGCCCCTGCCGTCGGGCCGCGGCCGCCCCCAGCCCGTCCCCGCCCGGGCCCGCCGACTCCGCCCGCGAGCGGCCGAAGCCGCGGCGGCCGCGCCGTTGCCGCCATTGACGTCAGAGGGGCGGGCACATGACCCCGCGGGGACCAATCGCGCGGGCGCCGCGGCTCCCGCAATCGCCCCGGTAGCGCGGCCCGCGGCCCCCGCCCGCAGACGCCCTCGCCGGACGGACGCGAGGACCCTCGCGCCGTCCCCACGCGCGGCGGCGCGGGGCCCCCCGAGACACGCCCGCGGCCCGCCCGCCGCCCCCGCCCCCGCCCCGCGCCCGCCCTCGGCCCTCCCCCTGCCCGCTCCTCCCCGCGCCGCCCGCCGAGCCCGGTCCAGCGCGGCGAGCATGCACCCGACGAGCTAGGAGGAAGCCGGCAGCCCCGCAGGAAGCGCCGAGCGCCGGCCCAGCCCGCCGGACGCGCCGCCCCCCGCCCCCCCCGCCGCGGGCAGCGCCCCCTCCTCTGCGGGCGCCCCCAGCCCCACACCCCCCCACCTTCCCGGGGGGTGGGGGGGTGCGGGCCGCCGGATCCGGGGGCCCCGCCGCCCCAGAAGCCCAGGACAGCCCCCCAGGCCCGGCGCGGCCATGGATCTGACGAGCAGCTCGGGCGGCGGCGGCGACCCCCGGCAGATCGAGGAGACCAAGCCGCTGCTGGGGGGCGACGTGTCGGCCCCCGAGGGCACGAAGATGGGCGCCGTGCCGTGCCGCCGGGCCCTGCTGCTGTGCAACGGCATGAGGTACAAACTGCTGCAGGAGGGCGACATCCAGGTCTGTGTCATCCGGCACCCGCGGACCTTTCTCAGCAAGATCCTCACCTCGAAATTCCTGAGGCGCTGGGAGCCGCACCACCTAACGCTGGCCGACAACAGCCTGGCGTCCGCCACGGTGAGTCGCCCGCGCCGCGCCGCCCGCGCCGCCCTGAGGGGCCGGGGCGCCCCCCGCGCGGCACCCGGGGCCCCGGGCCTGTGTGGCGGCCGCGGGGGCGCCCCGCTGCCGGCTTCGCGGACTCCGAGGCCCGGCGCGGGGTCCCGGCCCGGGCCGGGTGCCTGGGGACCGCCTGCCCGCGGCGGCCGCGTCCCTGACGGTCGGGACCGTGGGATCGACCCGGGGCCGGGCCCTGAGGGCGGCGGGGGTTCCCTTTCTGGCAGCCGGTGGCGCGTCTGGCTCCGAGCTGCAGGGAAACAACAAAACACAGCCAGTGGGCGAAAGAAAAAAAAAATGGAAACCTCAAAACCCCCAAACCCAGACGATTTCCAGAAGCCAGCTTCTTTCTTTGCCTTGCGCGTCCTTTATTCTTTTCTGCGGCCCTGGCTGGCGGGCGACACCGGGCGCCCCCGGTCCTGAGGTTCTCCCCGGCACGGTGGGAGGGTGGGAGGGTGCAGACGGAGGGCTGAGGGCCGGGGTCCCGGAGCGCCCCCGGCCCGGGGGGGCGGACGCGGGTCCGACCCGTGAGCGCGTGCGTGCGTCGTGTGTTTTGTTGCCGGAGGCTTCATGTTGTTTTTGATTGACTGTATGGCCGGGACTGGGTCAGCTGGCAGAGGTGGAGACCGGAAACCATTGATCTGTTTCTGAAATCAAGTCCGCAAATGGTGGCCTCCTTCCTACGTGGAGAGACAGCTGTGGTGGGGTCGAGGGCGGTGGGGGTGGGGGTGGCGGGCAGGAGCCTGAACGGGATGCTTTGTGTTTTGAAACAAGGACAGTTTCAAATACCAGCTGGGCTGGGGCTGGGGCTTGGCCCTGAGCCTGCCAGTGGGGGTCCCATCCTCTTTGGGGAGGGGGCTGGGTCTTCCTGGGAAGGCTCGCGACACCCCCCACGGTGAACCTGTTTACTAAGCCCAGTGGGAGGGGGCAGAATCCTCCACCGCCTGCCCACACCTGTGCCAAGAAAACCCAGCCAGGAAACAGGGTATCGCTTTACACGGCATGTCACAAGCGTGTAGCGTGTGGAGACACTTCCCCGGCATCCATGTTCCCTTGGCGGTGTGTCACAGGCCGTGACACATGCTGCAAGGAATGGGGAGGGGGGAAAAGTTAGTTGCGGAATCCTACTCCTCGCTCCCAGCTCTCCCTGAGCCCCGATGCAGTGAGGCACCCGAAGACTTTTAATCTGAATTTTGAGCCCGAGGTACTCCGAGCCCTCGTTTTTCTTTTCCTGGGCGCGTTGGTGCTGTGTCTGTCTGCAAGGACTCCTTGCTCAGGGAGCTCGCGGGCGTTCCGGGCTCAGGCTGGTGCATGTTCTTAAACCTGACCGAGCCCCAAGCCTCAGCGCTGGGCTTTTCACCTGCTGGAGCAAGAACCTCCGGGGATTTGCTGACACAGAGGGGAGGACCCAGTGACCTTGGCACCTCCCCCTTGGGATCTGGAGCCCCCAGATCTGGCTTCGGAATTCTCAGCTGGCTTGGGGGGGGGGTAGTTCCATCCAACTTTATTCTTTTTTTCTGCCTCCCCTGCAATGAGAGGGAGTGGGGACAGAGGAGAATGGCTGGGATGGACAGTGACCTGCCTAGGAAGGACAGGTTGGGCCACTGCTCCCCCTGGGAGGAGCCAGGAGTGCCCTGCTGCCCGTGTGTCCGTTTGGGGGAGGCCAGAGGCCCTGACTTAGCCTTCTGGTTGCTCAAGAGGTGTGTCTGCGAGGGAGGGAGGGAGAGAGGGAGGGAGGGAGGGAGGGAAGGAAGAGGCTGAAATCACACACTGGTTCCCGAAGGGGCTCCAGAGGCCCTTGTCCACTGGGCCCCGGCCCACTGGAGTGTCGCGTGGGTCTCTGGCAGAAGACCTGTGATGTCCAGTATTGGCACCGAGGGTTGTCCTCGGAACCAGATCCGTCTTGGCAGAGGGCGTTAAGAAGTGTGCAAGGAGGAAGTGTCGTCGTGATCCTCTCTCTACTGCCTTGCGACATCAAGCCCCGTATGGAGGGGGGTGTCCCTAAATATAGCCCTTGCTCTGTGGTGGACTCCCGTTGTGGCCACGCTCCCCCCTGCCAGGGCCTGTGAACACGGAGGTGGGGCGGCTGAGGACAGGCCCAGCTGGAGCCAGGGCCTTCAGGGCAGAGATGGGGTTGGAACTGCCACCTGGGACCATGTCCCATCACGAGACACCTGGTTGGTGTCCAGGCTCCCTGGGAGGCAGAGGAGCCCCTGTGGGCTTTCCCTGAGGCCTGGTCGTTATGTAATCTGTCTGCATTTTATAGTGTGGCCTAGGCACTCCGTTGAGAAATTCCAGCCCGAATGAAACAAAGGTGCCTTCGAGTGCAGCTCGCTGCTACACAGACCCCGCGCAGCCCTGTGGTGTGCGCCTTCTCCGGGACCAGGCTCCGGCTGCCCACGTGTCAGGGCTGTTTTGTGTAGGGTCATAGCCTTCCACGAAATGCATATCGTTCTTATTTTAAGTCGGCTCGGAACCATCTGGTAATTATCCGGTTAATTGTGTGGGTTTCAGGAACAAGAGCCAGAATGATTGATCTGGATTCAAACCAATAAACAAACCAAATACACGCTTTTGCCCAAACCGTCTGCAGAGTCTGTCTACACTGATCCAATTAACTGAATCATGAACGATACAGACCAGACTCTCAGAACCAGCTGCATCAAGCCGGGATGCGAGCATATGGGGGCTCCCAGTCCCACCTGGCGGGCGGCTCCAGCTGGGTACGCCCCTTGGTCTGAACCTCTCTCTGATCCCTGCCAGGGAGACGCCAACAGGGGTCTGGTGCCATGGGAGCTGACCACTCCCTGTTGTCCGGGCCCTGGCCTGGCTACAAACTTTGCCCTCTGTGCGGCTTGTTCGGAGCCTGCCCTGTGCCTTGTCTCCTGGGCCGGTTACTGATTAAATCCTTGCAGAGCCAACAGTGTGCTTGACATGGCTTGTGACAGCCAGCCAGGTTTGATGCACTCTGTGCTTGGAGACTTTGGATCCAGAAGGCTCGTAAACAAAGGAGGAAGCACGCAGGCTGCCGTGGGAGGGGAGGTGGAGAGGCACTGGCCTCCTCCCTGGGGGACGAGGACCACACCTCTGGGGGAAGGGCCTGCCTGCCCAGGCTGTGGCCTGGAGGTGGTGTCTCCTTCCCCTTTTGCATCCAAACTTCCCAGTCCTGGGCCTCCGCGGACCTTTCGGGCTGTAGAACCTCGGCGTGGGTTGTACCCTGCAGCCAGGGCTTCTGCATACGCAGCCGGGTTCGGCAAGACCAGAATCCATGTTGCCTTTCTTGTCCCTGGGCTGAATCCGAGCACCTGCTAGACGTGTTTGTCGGCTAGCGGAGGGCTTTGTCTGCAGGCTTTGTTTGCTCCGCACCAAGGAAGTACAAATAAGCTGCCTGCCTCTGACTGCGTCTGCCTCTTTCCCATGTGGCACGGGTATCTCAGAGCTGTGCTGCCTTCATTCGCTGGGTAGGGGCTGGGGCGCGGGTGACAGCAGCAGTCTTCATTCAGAAGCCGTAATTCCTCAGTGGCTCCTCTGTAGGTTTTCACTCCTCTGCTGCTTGGTTGCAATGGCTCCAGGTGTCTGATCAGAAATCAGAGAAGAGAAGCCCCCATGCTTCTCACGGGTTTCCATAGTCTCTGGCCTTCTGAGCTTGGACTTTGTTTAACAAGTCCTGGCTACCTACTGTGTGCCGTGTGCAGGGCTGAGAGCTCCGTGCCAGCATGGTGTGTTTTCTCCTTGCGAATTCAAATTTGTGTCCTCCAGAGGAATTGCACGCCCCATGGGTATTCACCTGTGTGTGTGCCCGCGCGCGTGTGTTCATATTGGTTCACTTTTGCCCCACCCCCAGCCCTCCCCAGCACTCCCATCCTCCCGTTGGCTTTCTTTGATGGTTTCTGTGGCAGTGCACACAGAGAAGTGTTTTCTCCCGATGCCATTTGTCACGAGAAGCTTTTGGAGTCTATCAGATTTGTTTCCTAGATCACTTTGTCTGGTGGAGGTGGTGGAGGGGAGGGGTGGAGGGAGGATCGGAGTCCTGTCAGCAGCATGCGCCGTCTGCCCGCCCCAGGCTGCAGCAAGTAGGCGCAGCTGTGGAGGGAGTGTGTGTTGCTGCAGACTTGGGCCAGCCCAGGTACAGGGTCCTGCCCAGTGCCTGACTTGCATGTCCCCCTAGCTGGCCCTGCTGCTGGCCGGCTCCTCACCCACAGGTGCCTTGTGGGCCTGCCCGTGCCTCGGCACCTTACCTGGCAGTGCGAGAAGGCATTTCTGGGGTACTGTCCCGGGCAAGGCTCTAGGGAGCCTGGCGGTTGCACATCATACTGAAGATAAAGCCATCTCAGGGCACCTCCCGGCTGGTTTTGGGACAGCAGCCTGGCCTTCTCTCCGGGGGCCAGCAAAGACCGGACACTTGCAAAGAGTACTCGCCTGGTGTTTTGTCAAAATGAATGTTTTCAAAGGTTCTTGATGAAAGGATTAAGTGAAGCAGCCGGGGACAGGGTGTCTGTCCTGTGGGGCACCGCAGGCTTGGGTTTGGCATCCCATGGGCTGGGTCTGGATTCTGAGGTTGCAGCTTCCTGGCTGTGTGACTTTTGGTGTGTTGCTTTCCCTTTCTGGGCTTGTTTTTCCTGCGTGTAGGGTAGATGGTTGTACCTCATTTATAGGGCTGCCCTGAGCCTGGAGATATAGTTCAGTTGCGCACTTAGGAAGTCAGCCTGCACACGGTGGGGCTATGCCGAGCGACTGGCATTCCAATTCCTGTTTTCCTCATTTCCCTGAGAGAGCGCCCATGGGGGTCTGTGCAGATGGAAGGGATCCTTGCTGTGTGACCACGGGCAGCTCTGCGGAGACCCGGAGCTAAGCAGTGTATGAGGCAGGGGAGTCGTCACAGGAGTTCAGGGAAGGTTCTTCAGGGGGCAGAGTCTGGTTTCTGAATAGAGAAAGATGGACTTTTAAGAAACTTGAAGCGGTCA